TTTATAATACTACCCATAAGTAGTCATCATACCTATGTATATAATATATAGACTTGAATAGCGAATAGGTTACTTTTAAACTCAGAAACGGTTGTACGGTTCCCGTGGGATAGATTTGTTTTTTCTAGGGACGAACCCGAAGCGAAGCGTGGGTGAGTCGCTAGTATTAATATTATAAATGCGAAAGCTTGGATTTGTTACTCAATCACGCCAGAATGGCTGAACGGATCTATATGAAATTTGACACATATATAGATTATAGTCTAAAATAGTACATAGGTTACTTTTTCCCCGAAAAAATGTTCGGTTCGATCGGTGGAATAGGTTTGTGACGAACCCAAGCAATGCGAGGCCAGTCGCTAGGCAAAGAATATATATTAAAAAGTTATAGATTGATCACGAGTACAGTTATCAGTTAATTTATAAATACATATGTTGATTCCCCATACAAACTTTCATTCCCATTTTCACCCCCTTAAGGCCCTAAGGGATTATTTTCGGGAAAAAAACTATCCTATGTCCTTCCCAGGGTCCCAAACTATCTTGTTACCAAATTTCATCTAAATCGGTTCATTAGTTTCGGAGCCTATTCAGTAAAAACAAACAATCAAATCTTTCCTCTTTATAATATTAGTATAGATAAATATTTTTTATTCTCTTCAAAATTTAATGACAATGCCCACTTATCTCCGCTTTATTTGTATTGATGTTTGAAGAAAGAAAAATTAAAAGTTGATACCATTGAGAAAAAATATAAAGCATAAGGGGAAGCCCTTTATGGTACTACATATTACTTTATATTGCAGCAACTTTTCTCTCTATATCTTACTCGTCACGTGTTGCTGTTGCCGGGTGACAAAACAAACAGGGTTGCTAGTGGAACCAAGTTATTTTCTACTGCCTAATCTTTCGAATTGTTTTTTCACTATCGAATCTTTTATCTTATATATTTAGTATCTATCCTATCTGAGATAGATATAAGAATGATATTATATAATAATAAAAAAAAATATTATTATATAATTTATCAATAAAAAATTTTTTTTTTCATTTTGTACTTTGTACTAGCTAACTCTTGTTAACAGAAACAGAGCTCTGCGGCATACTCATAGACATAAAGTGTAGACTGAGTGTTTCTTTGCGTGCCGTCAGCTAAAAATGGCGGAAGAGCGAAAGAGACAAAACGAATGTGCGGCTAGTAGTCTTCTATATTAATTGAAATACGATTAATGAAGATATATATTTATAACCATTTTACATTGCATTATTAAGTCCAGTCAAATAAGATCTGAAACCAAAATTTTGGCACTTTGCATTTTTGATATAATGTAGTTTTATGTGTATAATGTATATATGTATTAAAAGACAACAAAATTGAAAGTGCATAATAATTACAAGACTCCCGCAACACCATTCAGACAAAGAGAGACAATAGCATTCCCAAGGAAGGTAAACGTCAGGCAGGCGGCCGGTCGTAAAACTTTTGCCAAATCCTATCAGCAGTACAGAAGATGTACTGCGCCGACCCCAAGTGATTGGGAAATGGGCAGGGAGAAGAAGTAGTTTTAATGATACAAAAATAATGTGTTTAAAAGGTTTTTGTGGGTTTCGGTTCAAAAAAAAATGTCAAAAGTGTTTTTTCGCAATGACTCGAAAACGGTAAAAATTCGACGAAAAAGTTTTAATAAAAAGTGTAGAGCTTAAAATTTTACATAGAAAAGGTTTCATGACTTTTTTCCTTCGGTCAAAAGTAACCGAGTTTGGGAGGTTTTAAGTGTAATGGATGAACATAAGTTTAAAAAAAACGTATGTACTTAGTAGAAAAACAGGCATTTTTTTAAATTGCTTAAAAAAGTCTAATCTTTAATAGGGAAGATTTCTCGCAAGGAGGACGCCACACGTGTTGCCTTTTTACATTCAGGCGAAATCTGTACATGAAATATTAAAAAAAAATACTGTAACGTATTGTGTACAGAAAATTTACAAATTCAATTATACGTAGTTATTTATTTATAAATTTAAATCATGTTAATAAAAATATTATGCTATCACTAGTGTATTTTTTATTCAGAAAAAGTGAAAATATAAGGACTTAGCGCGCGTCAATGCTTACGATGTTTGACAAATATAACAATTTCTGTATAAAATCTTTATTCAATACACATCCTATGAAATAAAAACTGTTAATTACTTACCCTTCCGTCATATTCCAATCCTTATACTAATAATTTTACACTATTTTATTAATTTTTTACTCACAAGTATTGAGTTCGAAGACCGCCAAAATTTAAATAAATTGTCTGCACAAATTATAAAAATGTATGTTATTGGAGTTATTACTTTTTTGACATGTAGTATGATATTATTACTTGTATTTTTCTTTACACGTTACAAAAGTTAGACAAAAATAAATATAGTTTAAATGCGAGAAATCACAGATTAAATCACATCGGGATCAATCGACCTTTAAAAGGTCGCTTGACAGACCTACCCTACCCCAGCCTGCAAATTTATGATATTCGCAATGAAAAAAATACTAATCGATAGATTTTTAATAGCTCAATTCAACTACGTAGCCCTTCCAAATTGCTCACCATTAATTATAAAATTAAAAATCAATAAAGTCCTTGAAAAAAAATTCATTTATCCGTATATTCAAATTTCTATATCTTTTGATATATACAATATTTTAAATTGCTCAAAGTTCTAAAATACTGCTCAAGTTGCATTTGTAATTGCTCAAGTAGAGTTCTCACCAGCTCCACTTTCCTTAATTATTAAATAAATATAAATAGTTTGAATAAATTTAACGTATAGATAGGTGAGTGCTGCGCATGCGCGCAAACAGTAACGCGAGTCGCAAGGCAAAAAAATCAAGTGTTTCATAACCTCATCATAGTGAAATGAAACTGTAATACTCCAAGCACAACATCATCTATTATCAGGTATTTTTATTATTTATTGACTTATTCATTATGTTTAATTTATACAAAAATCAAATCACGACTAAAAGGTAACTTTATTTTGTAACTTTATGTCTGTTTATGTCTTAATTTATCTGTTGGTATTAATTTTCATTTATTGGTAGATTCCAGATCTGTTCTTTATGTTATAATATCTGAAGTGGAATCACGTAATGTGAACAATTCATAAATTCAATAAATTTAAAGAAATCCACCGAGAAACAGAATTAAGACGTTGAATTGGAACGATTGTCCAAGCCCGCCGAGGCCGACCGACAATGCGCGGTGCGCATGCGCACGCACGCTTAACCTACGTTACATTTATTACAACTATACTTTTAATTATTTAATAATCAGCGAAAGTGGAGCTGGTAAAAACTCTACTTGAGCAATTAAAAATGCAACTTGAGCAGTGTTTTAGAACTTTGAGCAATTTGAAATATTGTATACATCAAAAGATATAGGAGTTTGAATATACAGATAAATTAATTTTTTTTCAAAGACTTTATTGATTTTTAATTAAATAATTAAAGGTGAGCAATTTGAAAGGGCTACGTAGTTAAATTGAGCTATTGAAAATCTATCGATTAGTATTTTTTTCATTGCAAATATCATAAATTTGCAGGCTGGGGTAGGGTAGGTGCTTGACAGACAGGGGTTTTTTTGACATCGACCTTTAAAAGGTCGATCGACAGACGAGGTATTATTCAAAATAAATTGACCAAATACTATACACACATTACACAGATAAGTAATTAATAATCCATAAATTAAAAAAGTGTAATAAGTTATCCTTCGTTGATTTTTTTAAAGCATTTAAATAAGTTTTTTATTTATTTTGTTTTTTATTAATGTATTTTTTTAGTTTTTATTCTAATCGTATTCTTCTCAGCAAACCCTTTTATTTAATATCTATATCATAAGGGTGCATAAAAAAACGGTCCACCATCTTTGCGAGTTTGCTTAATAATATATTGAATTTACAATGACGTCACTTTGCTTATTGTGTTTCGCTGATCAAGACTTCATTTGATGCCCATATCATAAGGATCACTATGGAAATGATAATTCACCAATTTGTATTTGGATTAAAAATAGCGGCATTTAGTAATCGTACAGTCACGAAAACAAAAACGTGTGTGCCCTTTCAACTTAATCGAAGACTGGGAAATAAGTCAAATTTAACATGCAAGATTTGATTACTGACAGACACCGGGAGTGTTTAAGCTAATAAAAGCTTGTAATAATTTTTATTTTTATTGATATAAAACATATCAAATACCAGAATAAATGTCTTGAATATAGACATCACTTTACACTATATTAAATGGAGATTTAACGACTAAAGTCATACTGTAGTCTAAATCTGTCGCATTGTAAAAAATCACTCCCATATTTTTCCCGATAACGCTCCACAAGAAGCATAACTTCAAAAATTCATCCTAGAAGAATGGCTTTATTATAAAATATTATAGTACTATTTTTATAAATTCTGTATGAAATCTCTAACGCTATTTTTAAACTTAACTCGAAATTGATACAAATGTCGATTATGAACGGGCGCGGGGCGGGGCATTTAATTCGAGAGTCGAAACGAGACGGAAGAGTGGCGCTGTTAACGCGCGCATGCGTAGTCGATTCTCTGATATTGAGATTCTAGCGTGTCCATAGACAACTTTTTATAATCTGGTGTAGTCTTCTGCATTTTGTTTGTAGGTTATGTTTTAGTCGTCAATTGTCAAAATTTAATATCGAGTGTTTTTCGTGGAATTATTTATTTGGATATGTAGCATAATCATTACATTACCTTGTGATTAATAATTTGTAGTCGTCGTATTTTATGTACACGAAACATTCTATTGAACCATAATGGTCATTTAGTTAACATTATTGCGGGTTGACATTGAGATGAGACGTGAATACAAAAGGCGATGCGCATTTCTTATTACTTGAAATATCATTTAGCAGCACAGACTGTGACAGTTCATTTTAATAAAGTGATATCTTTAATCGCATAAAACATAAAATATAGCAAAAATGACGAGCCAGTTGTCTGTTTTAAAACTTTACAGTACAGTGGTAGATGATGTGATAGCAGGAGTGCGAGACTGTTTTCTTGATGACGGTGTTGATGAACAGATATTACAAGAATTGAAACAACTATGGAAAACAAAACTAGCTGCCAGTGGGGCTATGGACCCACCACAACCTGAGGTAACGACTATGCCTCCACCACCGGCGCTCCAAAATTTTCAAAAAGCAAATGGAAGTAATATAATACCAAAAAGAGCTCCAGATATGGCTCAAGGCTCGAGTCAACATTCTGGAGTTGAACATGGTGCTCCTCCATCAAGTTTACCAGGTGCTCACCCACATCATGTTCTGGATCCAAACAACAAAGTTCCAGTACAACTCACATTACCAGCTCAACCAGGGGTACCAGGTTCACAACCACGTTCATTTACAATTCAGATCCCGGCCTCTGCACTCAATGGTAATAAGCTACACCAAGTGCTTACTGGTCCAATAATAAATGCTACAATAAGTTTGCCTCAACCTTTAGCTGCTACTCTATTGCAGCAACATATCAATTCCGCACTAGCAGGCCAACAAAATGAGTTTGATGGAGGTGGAGGTGGTCGCAGTGGTGCTGCACCATTTTCCTTAGATGGAGCTTTAGATTCATCAGATGATGAAGGTTCAAATGTTGGTGATGGTTCTGAGGATGGGGCTGGTGATGACGATGAGGATGAAGAGTCTGCAGAGGAACGAGCGGAGGAAGAAGAAGAAGAAAGAGATGAAAGTGGAGGAGCAGAGGAAGAGCCACTAAATTCTGGTGATGATGTATCAGATGAAGAGACTGGTGATATGTTTGACACAGAAAATGTAGTGGTTTGTCAATATGATAAGATTACACGCAGTCGTAATAAATGGAAATTCTATCTTAAAGATGGTATAATGAATTTAGCAGGCAAAGATTATGTTTTCCAAAAAGCTAACGGTGATGCAGAGTGGTGAATGTATACAGTTAATAAATGACAAGTGCTTATGATGTTGGTGTAATTTGTCCTGGTAGTATAATACTAAAAGAAAAAGACTTGACTAAATATATCTCAAAATATAATTACATTTATTTGTTTTACAGACTGACTTATGTACTAGAGATGTGAAATAATGTATAAAATAAAAGTAAAAATGATTTAGTTTCTTTACAGTTCTGCTCCTATTATTTTTATTATTTATATTTCAATTAATATGTTAATGTTTAACACTTTCATATTATATTGGTGATGTGACACTCTTTAATTCTCTGGGAAATGAGTCAAGTCTACGGTTGCTCATCAGGTTCTCAAAAAATAATAAATTGATGGTTATGATTCTATAAAGAGCTTCAAAGTAAATATTGAAAAGTTATAAAGAATTTTTGTGTTGTGGTGTGAATTAAATTTGCTAGATTAGCTTCACTATAAAATGTTCAATAGTCAAAAATATGTATATTTATAAAAAAATTATTTATTAAAATAACCATTTACAAACCGGCAAGTGCATTAAAGTGCCAAAAATATATTAAAGATTTTTCTATATGAAAATTATAAATTCATTACTGGTGAAGCTATGTAGCATGTAATAGCTAGCATATAGTCTGTATACTGTCAGAACATGTACCAGCTAGAATCCAATATTTAATATAAAATAGAGATTACCAAATGATATAAAGCTGTAATTTTCCTTGAACTATTACTCTTTAACCTGTTTTCTTACACAAGGTTGTTTACTGTTAACCCACTATAATAATCAAAAACTTAAATTTTGGTATAGTTAATTTTACATGTGTATAATAGAATGTATAGTTAAAATAAGAAATTTTTTGTTATTCTAATGAATTTGATCCCTAAGTGCACAAATTTTGTTGGCTCTAGATATTTTCCTTTCTATGCTATCAGTAAGTAATTAAATTTTGTGATATGAATATTAGTTAATTTAAATTTTAATTTAAATCTGCCAATAATGTAAGTCCATTGTTGGATTCCTGACTGTGCCTATCTGCAGTTTGTGCGATTTAGTTACTACTTAATAATTGTAACTTTCTTTGGATTTGTTATGATTCCTTATGTGATGAAGTTTGATGAGAATGGTAATTATAATAAAATATGTTGCATTACACACTTCCATTATTTAAAATGATTGACCAAATGATTTTAACTTGGATCTATAAATTGGAATATTTAAGCAAAATATTTAAACAAAATCTGTTGATATTACCTATCGTCTGTCTCTAAAGTAAATTTAAAAACCACTTAAAATTTGAAAAATTGTTTAGCATACAGGATCATTTTTAATTTACTGAAAACCTTTTGGGAATACACTATTTAAATTTAACAAAAGAAGAAAATATTTTTATTGCACCTTCTAAACGGTAATAGTCCAGCATTTGCAAAAGAAAGTGCGTGTCCGGTGGAGGGGGAAGGGTGAGGGGTGTAAGAAGCCGCGCTTACTCATTTAAACTTGGCCAGATGCTTTATACTTTAAACTTTAGAAGGTGCAAAAAAAATATTTTTATTTTTGTATGAAAATAAAAATTTAAGAAATATTATTTTTTCTTGTTACAGATGTTGTTATTATGATTTTAATAGTATATTCCCAAAAGGTTTTCAGTGAATTAAAAATGACCCTGTATATGTAATAATAATATTATTTATTCAAAGTGAATGGATAATTTCACTAAAAATATTTTATTCCCTAAGAGTTGTAAATTTTCCTTGAAATTTAAATGAGAGCACCCTGAGGTAAAAGAGTATTCAATAAAAAAAATATTTCTCTAAAGTCAGTTCATAATCGGCGAAGATATCGCGTAACTTATACAAAAGAAGATGCTCGAATTAAAAACTCACTTTTAGGGTTCCGTACAGAACTATATTACTATGTCTCCGCTGTCTGTCCGCCCGTCCGTCTGTCAGAGGGCTGTAACTCATGAACCGTAAGTAGAGAGTTGAAATTTCCACAGAGTATGTATTGCTATTGCCACTATGACAACAAATATAGGCCAGTCGAACTAGGATTTGACATAGCAAAAATTTTTAACGGCAATTTTCCTTCGGAATTCTTTGGAGGAGCGGGGGAGGGGAGGGTGTCGCTGGAAGTTTGTTTAGATTCTCGGGGTACCAGATACGTTGCGTCATCCGCCATCATGATTTTTTTATTGAATAACTCGTTTATTTTCAATTTTACACGAAAAATAGTTATTACAATAGCTGTACGCCAAAAATTGTAATAAACAAGGTTGTTTAAAATTAAATTTTCTTCAATTTTGATCCTTATCTTTTTTTTCGTAGAATCAATATTTTTCGATTTATACCTGAGAAAAGGAGGGGGTAAAATCTTATCATTATATTATTACTTTCATTTTCAATTTCAAGCAAAAAAAATTATAAGCGAAGTTGTTTAAAATCGAATTTGCTTCAATTTTGGTTTTTATCAATATTTTCGTAGGATCGATATTTTTCAATTTATATTCGTTGAGAGGTGGAGAATTTTTGTTTATTGAATAACTTAGTAAAAAAATTTTGCTATGTTTGCCCCTTTTTTAAGCTCATTCGACTGGTCTAATAATAAAATAACAAGATTTTTTTTTAACGGTCGTAATCGATCATTGAAGTTTTTCTCATAAACAAACTATGTACAAGAATTTTGATATTAACTGACATGGCTGACTTGATGATAATATTTTGTACTAGCATTGCCCGCGGCTCCGCCTGCGATCTGGTGACCAAAAACCAAATTCTGAGGTTTTTACATATTAGCATTTTTAGCTCTTACATTGCAGTTTTTGTATATTTTCTCAGAAATGAGACATTTTTCCGCGGTAAAAAGTATTCTATATGTTTACCCGGATAACCAGCTATCACCATAAAAAATTTCATCAAAATCCCTCTATTGGTTTTTCTGTGACTTAACAAGTTTTTTACTGTCAATTTTTTTCTATTACTTTTTAAAAACTGTGCCAATTTATGAAGAATGAACCCTACAATTTTCATGGATCTAGAATCAAGGCTTCATTTAAAAAAAATCTAATTGCTACTATTATAGATGCAGTCTTTATAGGCTACTTTTAGGTATCTAAGGAAACATCACGCACCCGAGAGAAACGCCCTCGCAAGCCGCTAGTCAGATTATTATTATAAGTTTTTATGTGTACGTTTGGTAATCCTTTATGCTAAGCCGGCTTGACAGATTTGTATAAAATTTGGTACACAGGTAGACTATTACCGGGAGTAGCACATGGCTATTGTGAGGCCTAAAAGTAAACTAGACGTAGTGACAGACACGAACACAACTCGTTTCGTTCATTAAGTCGCTACTCGCTAGTCATATAATAAATTATACAAAAACAAATTAAGTATAAAATACGTTTAAGCTTAATTATGTGTATAGTCTTTAGGATGATTTTAGGTGATTGAGAATACAATCCACACTAATATTATAAATGTGAAAGTGTGTTTGTTTGTCCTCCTTTTACGTCGAAACGGAGTGACTGATTTACGTGATTTTTTGTGGAGAGAGTTGGAGGGCTAGAGAATGACATAGGCTACATTTTACCGTGGGAGATTATCTCATTCCCACGAGAAAACACGTAATGCAACCCAAAAAAATATTTCTGATCAGAATTACTTGATACTTGGTATTTATGCTCTTCAATACAATTAAATGAATACGTGTTTTAGCATTTTTCAAAATTCGTCCTATAAGGGGGTAAAATAGGGGATGAAAGTTTGTATGAAACCTACTTATAACCTAACTTACCTTTAAGCTAATAAATAAAACAAAACGTATAATAGATTTTTAGCGCGAGCGAAGCCGCGGGTTCTGCTAGTTAAAAATATATTGACATATATTTTTCGTTTTTTTTACTTAATTAGTTTTGTTAGGGGTTTTCCGCTCTTACATTATATTAATCTAAGTGTGGGCTTAAATATACCATAGAAAAACATAAAATATGATCTGAGATCTCAGCTTTACACAGTTGGAAACAATGGTAAAACCAGTAATGTGTGCTCTAATGTACGAAGAAGGTCTTGGAGTTCCTAAAGCGCCCTTAAAGATTAAAATCTTATTCAATTTCATTCAATTATTTCGACGTTAGCATCGTAGACGAGAAACTGCTTGATACAAAGGCTACTTGTAGGTATTAATGTGTTGGTTGAACCTCGCCGGTCCAATTACCCGCACTAATCCCGCGCACGGCGCAGGGCAGAGGAGCAGCCGCGAGATAGCCGTTTGTAATCGACTTACCCGCGCGATTTAATATCGCGCTCAATGTCCCGGTAAAATGTTTACGTAATTTGCTTCTAGGCTTTACCCATGTAACGAGCAAAATTAGCAATTATAAAGAAATGGAAAGTAATTGTACCTTTTTCAATCTAATTTTCGAAATTTGGAAAAACGTGTTTCTAATTTATCGTAACTATGAAATCATTTTTATAATAACGTTATTTTTAAATAAAATATGTACGTATACGTATAAAATAGATTAATCTCAGCCTGTATTATCGAGTAATTAAAGTAGGTACCTATATAAGTACATGTTTATAAGATAATAAATATTTAACGAAAGAGTGATCATCATCAACAGCATAAAGAATTCTATCGGAAAAACAGCAGCGTCATATAAGTATAATATCTTTATAAATAGATACTATCTATACAAAATAATAATATTTTAACTGAGCCGAATCTGTACATTAAATATTTTTTGGAAAATCTTATTGAAATAGACATTATTATTGATACAGAGGCCAAATCTATAGTTTTTAGAATTTTCGTCTGTCTGTCTGTCTGTTACCGCATCACGGAAAAACCACTGAAGGGATTTTGAAGAAATTTGGTATGGTGATAGCTGGTCAACATATAGGATACTTTTTACCGCGGGAAAATGTCTCATTTCTGAGAAAAAATACAAAAACTGCAATGTAAGAATATACTAATATGTAAAACCTAAGAATTTGGTGTTTGGTCACCTGAGCTCGTGCAGAGCCGCGGGCAATGCTAGTACTATATATAGCTCTTAAGCCTAGCAATTATCTTTCAGGTTTCAGCACTAAGCAGGATTAAAATATCTAGGAAAAGCTCTACCTAGCCTGTATGTAGCTTTCAAAATGTTATATTTTCTATTACGGATATGAAAGCAAATCAATTTGAATCACTTTTTTGCAAATCGCAAATTTACCTATGTAAGTTTAGCAAATGCCTATATCTAAAGCTAGCGATTTGTTGCAAGACTTTTCAATTTATCATATTTTAATCTCTAAAATAGTATTCAGTTTTTCAAATACGATAAGCGGTAATGCCGTGGGATTGCTCGCTCATCTCTTCATCCATCAATTTCATATGTCTGTCACGGGTGATTTTCGATACTCGTTCGACATAAATAAATCTTTTGTTTTTAGTAATTTTTCGCATAGCTACATAGTTATATGAAAATCTTCAAGTTATAACTGTTATTTTAATTCGTTTTCTATTGTTTACCTATTACTAGTATAGTATTATATGATCTATATCTATATTAAAATTATAAAGAGGTAAAGTTTGTGAATAGTGAGTTTGTGACGTTGTAGGGGATAATTTTTGGTTCTACTGAACCGATTTAGATGAAATTTGGTAAGAAGATAGTTTGAGACCCTGGAAAGGACATAGGACACTTTTTATCCCGGAAATCCCTTAAGGGGGTGAAAATGGGGATGAAAGTTTGTATTGGAAAGCAAGCTAGGGACGAACCCGAGCGAAGCGAGGGCTCACCTTCATCAATTACATACGAGTATATATATATATATATATATATATATTACTCGTATGTAATTATTTGTTGTATATGATTGTTTTATAATATTCTCAGTAAAAGTAACTAAAGCTCTTAATTGATGAAATTTCTCAGAACGTACCGCATGGAGGCCATTATTCCTGGGTCCGAGGCTTTATTAGTGTTGGGTTCGCCTTATATTTATGTTATGAATATTAATAGTTTCATATTAAAAATAGCAAGTTATTTCTCATATTTTATTATTATTCTACTCTATTATGTATTAAAAAAGTGCCCTTAGGTAAATTATGCGTACATTTAATAGAATATCCTATATACAGTTCACGAAATTTTAATCAGGAGATAAACTGTATAATAAATTAAAATTTAAATCGTTACCGTTAAGTCTAAATTTCAGTTTTTTTGTGAAGTTTATATATAAAAAATAGAAAAAAGACCAATTAGTATTAGTTCCCGATTTTTTCAACTTTCCGGGAAACATTTTAATTTTTTCTTTTATAAAAACCTAATCCGAATTAGTGTGAATATTTAAAAAATATAGCCAAATCAGTCCAGTACTTCTTAAGTTATGCGGTACATTTCACATTTTTTAATTGCATTGCTGTAAGGCATGTTATTATGTAATAATCCAATAAATCTTGGTTTTTTTTTGAGGTATTACTATGTCCAGTTGTACACTTCTTTCGACAGAAACTATAAATCCGATAAATTTATCAAATAATGAAGCAAGACTTCTTACATGAAATGATGAATATTTTAAAAGCTGTCAACGCAATATTATCTCGTACGGTACGGTCTCGTTCTTATCAATGTACGGCATATCGTTGGTCCTAAGCGAAATGAGTTAGTTAAAATTATCTATAAAATATATATATAAAACACTTTAGTTTTATAAGTAAATAGAAGTACAAGATGCAGGCTGTATATAATTTCAAAGTTATAATTGAACTAAGTTAATGTAAAAATAGAATTGCATTTACCGTTATTGATTGATTCATTAAAATAAAGAAGATAAATGAACAGACTTGTTAGAAAAAAAGTAGTATGTTTTTCACCATTTTAATTACTCTTTATCAAGTTAATCTGATTGGACTCTAGATAATCTTGCTCTATTCGCTTATAGCGTTTTTCTTTCTACATATACCTATTACAATATTGCAGGTGTTAATAAAAGCATTCGTTACTAAATTATACCGTAACAAAGTGGGGACCTGTTGAATGCGTTAGTTCTGTTCATTCGCGCTCCGCTCCCCAGCCCGAGCGGCCGGGACTCGCCTCGCAGATTGATCAGTCTATCCTAATCATACATATATAAAGCTAGCTACATACATGTATAAAAGTAGATATTTTAGATAAAAAAATTGTAATACTTAATAAAAAATATAAAGAAAATAAAACATTTAACATCTAATATTGTGATTTTAAAAAAGAAAAAATGAAATTTAGAATAATTTTCTTTGTTTCAGATTTCGGGGATATTTTAGTGAAGTGTGAATCAAGTGTAAAGAAATGTCGTGTTTCAGTGGCAGCGTGTTGATACCCGACTAAGTGAAGTGATAGAGTAATTTTTACCGGTGAGGTGATGATGTGACTTGAAGTGAAGGATAAAAAAGCGCTACCATGCTGCCAACAAACGTTATGTCTTTTATGAAAAAAGTAAGTAGTAGCTATTATTTATCTATGAAAAATATTTACAGCTTCATGATCTACCTTACAAAGAAGATAAAGTGAATGTAGAGCCTTACTCAATTCGTTCGGTTTCATTTTAATTACTATAAAAGCTTATAATTGACTGATTTACCTTACCTTTTAATTTAAACGATGGCTCGCCCTTTTTCTGATAAGCGACTTAAATAAAAATAATTTGGTCGTTCATTTCAAAATTGAAATGTAATATTTATAAGAATGTAAATTAAAATAGGTATTAAGCTAACGAAATTATTTATTGCTTAATAATTTAAACGACATTTCCTTCGTACTCTACTACATATTATACAGGTTACTTATGTATATGTATACAGTATGAACAATGTACATATAAGTAATATATTTTTTTACTTCTCACTATTATATTTTAATTATCATTATACACTTTTTATATTACAATAAATAGTTACATATAGTAAAGTTTTATTGTATTTTATTGTAAAATTCCACTATATTTTTTCATTTCGTTACGATACTGATCTAAAATACTGCTCGTCCGATCAATATACGGCCCAATTTAGTTGCTTAAATAAAATCTGTAGCCGGTCATACTCTTACCATTCAATAATATTATCAATCAAATATTCCTCTTATTAAAAGTTAAAAAATAAATCTAAAGTGGATAAAAATAAACTCTGGAATATTTCTAAAGCGCTTTCGATAAGAAAATAATATGAAAAGAGTCTCATTAGAGAGCAGTTTTCTCTTCTGCCTGAGAAAGATTCACGCCAGTTTATGCATCGTTGATTTTTCATGATGATAAAGAAAATAAAAGAATACTGGATGTTTTCAACGACTATCTAAGCCTTTTCCCCGCACAATTTTGATTCTATTTCTACTTGTATGATATTTATGTATTTATTTACTGTATAATATTTTTGCCAATTTAAATTATTATCCGTACTGTATTTAGAAATAATATATTTGTGCATATTGTTGCTTAGTAATGTTTAAATACCTATGTCTTAATTGCAGTAAACATTAGATCAACAATATTATATATTCAAGGAAAAACAAACACTTTTCTAAATTATATAACTAGGTTTTGGTCGCAGCTTCTAATTTTTGAGATTTCTACGGCCATCAACGGCGTAATGTTAATTGGCCTTCCTTCCTCTTTAAGTAGGCTAGAGAACTCAAAATGGTGGTTCCACAGATTAGAGCTTAAAAAGAAATAAAAATAAACTTCTATATAGTTTTTATATGGGTAATTTAAAATTTGAGAGGTCTTAGGATGGTACATACATATGTCAGGATATCAATATTTATTATAGTCCAGAACGCAAACAATGTTGTAACCGTAGGTACTTAATATCTTATATCTTTAAATTTCATATATTTTCATGAAATTTAGTATACAGGGAGTTTCGGGGGCGATAAATAGATTTAGATTAGTCTTATGTCTGAGAAAACGCGTGTTTTCGAGTTTTCATGCAGTTTTCTTTTGCATTATTCTACGCAAAATATGCTCGATAATTTACACGCTCGGGCATAAGCATCGTGGTTAAGCGGCCAAGGTGCAAGATCAAAAGTCACAGGTGTCCGGGTTCATATCTCGGTCGTATACAAAGTTTTTACTTTTGTTTTTTTTTTAAATATTTATTCAAGTTTTTAGTTCAAAAAAAAAAGAATATTGTACTTTAGGCCAAAAACTCCGAGCGAATCTCGATAGCCCAGGTACTAACATCATTATTCGACTCTTTTTTATCAACAACATTATAACGTTTATCAAATGGGAACTTTATAGTTGGTTAGAAGCCAAATATCACCATTATTTGATAATTGGGTATTGTTGAACTATCTCAGCTTCTATTCAAATTTCTCGTAGTGAGAATTTACTAAATTATAAGCTGCTGAATGCCTGTTAGGATTTCTCAAATTATAGACAAACTCAATACTACTCTTACCGAAATTGTTATATCCAGTATAAATGACTATTATTAAAGGCAATTTAAGATACTAAAACCGAACCTTTTATCGATTCAAAGACAGTCTTATAGATTGAACGATTACTAACACTACAATATATTGATTGAAAGAAGCTTACATCGCTTTAAGGAAAATATAACATATTATTTAAGTTTTACAGCACGTATGTTGGGGGATAAAAACATTACAAGATTTTCGTCGACGTTAGTCCCCGAGCACCGGTTGCGTAGTACCTGCGTGTTTTATCTATTATCCGTATTACTGGTAACATAACGCCGTTATAATTATGCTGTTGTGCTTCTTTGTCGGAAATTAAATTGCTGCTTTCGGTTTAAAAATTATCTTTGAACCCTAACTTAATATTATTTTACAACCAGAATATATAACATGTCATTATAATTACCTTGTTTTAAGAACTATAAATTCATGGACACAATATTGAATATATCATTCAGTTTTGAGTATTAGTAGATTGTGTGTTTAATATTGTCGAGCATCCAACGTTTTATAGATCACGCGAGTGAAACTTGTACGTGAGAAACTTTTTTTTATATAAAAGAGTATTTTAAACACAAAATTCGAAAATAAATATGTTATATATACTCTTAGAGCTGCACTACAATGTTTTTTTTAATAATTTAACCCTTAATGAAATGAAACAATCTATCAAAGTAAGCAAGAAAATATGGAAAACCAATTATGCGATTATTGCCTGAGACAATGAGCACTTAATAAAAAAAATCTTTCTACAGTAATTAATTCTATAGTAAGATCATTCGTTACTGCTGAAGTGATGATAATTAAAAATAATAATAAGTCAATGAAAATAAAACAACCTTGAATTACCTTATTATAATAAAAATGCCTGCACGATAGAGAACCGAGTGTAATACTGAATGCTATAACCTTTTATTCGATTTAATTTACGTGCATTTATTATATATATAGTAAAAAAAAAAGCTCATTAGACATTTAAATAGAGAATACAAAACATACTAAGAATAATAACAATATGAGATCGATCCTACCGGTACACAAAAGGCATCTCTTCTCCTGGAACTTCAACTTATCAACTCAGTTAAGGCAAATATCTACTTACTTACAATCTAAATAAGGATGATATTCAAACAACACATTCATACATAACTTTCGAGTTATTCGAAAGGAAATAGTATATTTATATGCTTTTAAATGTATTTATAAACTTCACAATGTACGCTTATCGGAGGCAGGGAACACGCGCACTAACTCTTCCTGCGATGAATTACCGCTTAATCGAATGGAAACGTCGAGATTCTATATAACGTATCTACACTTTGAGTTCTATAAATATATACTACTTGCAGCGTAAATAATAACTAACTGTACTTAAAGATAATTTCCTTATGGGCATGCAATTTTTGTTTTTATACCTTTCTAACTACAACACGCGATTTGTTATTTAGACGCTATGAAATGAATTCAGTATTTAATACCTACTCTTACTATAAGTAAAGGATTTACAAGTTTTAAATAAATATTTACAGTCCATTGGTCAACCATAAATATATTGTATATTAATTTATTTCCCATCTCATTAATTCTAAGCCCTATGCCGAACTTTTAAATAAATATAAAAGGAAGTAAATAGCTGGAAATAGTTGTTGCTTATTATATTTCGAATTTACCTAGAATTATAAGAGTTATCGTAGGGGAGGTAAGAAGCATCGCGTACGCTTTTACTCCAGAATGAACGCTTCGACGAATACAGCCGTCGGTTTATCTTTGCTGAACAATATTACTTGTTCCGTTTCTGCGCCTACATATTATCCCATTGTCCTTAATAATGAAATGCCAGCGATAATGGTCTACATGACATAAGTTTTATTGATAACTTTTTTCATTTTTTCTTTTATTTACTTTTATATCAATATTTTGTTTTATGTAACATGTAACTATATACTTAATATTTATATGTACATATATATCTTTGTCCACTTTCTCTTGCTAAAAACTCATTATCATAGAATCATGATCGAAGTGGCTAATTCATTCATGCATAGAATATATCAGTCAAAATCATACCATTATGACAATTTAAGTATTCTTATTATATATACTAACTTCAGCTTACCGTTTTGTTCGCTTGTTATGGAGAAAATTTAAAATGTTTATTGATTGTTTTGGGGTCCAAAACTCACAAGATGTATTATGCTATATTATATGGATAACTTATTATTAATATACGAGGTAGTTTTTTGTACTATATAACTATTAATTGTATTGCGTTTTGTGTGATAGTTTCCGATGTACATCTTTTTAGATTTATATCTAGTACTTACAAATATCTATGTATATAAATATTAAATAAAGAATGGTCCATAAATATAACCGATAAAAAGATAAAATAAAAATCATTATACTATATGTTTAATTATTTTAAACAAACTTTCAAACTATTTTTCAGTTGAGTGAAGTTAATATTATGTTCGTTACGTGCGATCATCAGATCTCCGTAGCACACTCGTAGTTACTTTCGTAGCGGCATTATTCGTAGCGAGGTAGCGTAACCAGTGCGCAGTGAATGGAGGGAGACAAGGCAAATTATTCCAGCTCACCTACTTCAATTGTTCTTCGATAACTGCCGTGGCCAACACACGAGTCAAAAGCTATTCATATGTATATTATGTAAAACTACACCAATCGAATTTATTTTGAAGCATCACTACATCATTACATTATTGACTTCAAAAATTTTTTTAGTATTTACTACGTTAGTATAGGAATACACATTACACAGGGCAGAGGGAGGGGGGAGAAGGTGGGTCATGAGTGTCCCGCAGTCCAGCCGGGCGCAAAACCAAGAAATGTACTGTGAGGCGGCTCACCTCTACGTTGCTACAGGTTCTTCTCTGATAGCAAAATAAACATGAATAGATGTGGGAACAACCCCTTGGTTGTGTGGTCGGCCTCCGCAGGTCTGCCATCGGGGCATGGTAGTTAAGTGTGTAAGCGATCCTGCGACACACCATTAAGACAGG